CATCGACGACGAAGACGCACCCGTAGAAGACGCACCCGAAGGCGACGCACCGACGACGACGAGGACCACGTCGACCGCCCCTGGCGGTCGGCCCCCCTGGGAGCCAGACCGCCGCCCGGAAGCGGCCCCCGCGCCGCACCACGCCCTGCGGGCACCCATCCCGGAAGCAGCCTCCGGTGCGGGGGGGAGGAGTAGGAGGATTAGGAGGAGGAGGAGGAGGACGAGGAGGAGGAGGAGAGGAGGAGGAGGAGAGGAAGGAGAGGAGGAGAGGAGGAGGAGGAGGAGGAGGAGAAGGAGGAGGAGGAGAAGGAGGAGGAGGAGGAGGCGGAGGAGGAGGAGGAGGCGGAGGAGGAAGAGGAGGAGGGTGCGGAGGGGGAGGATGAGGAGGAGGCCGGCGGAAGGCGGCGGGAATAAGAGATGCACCCGCAAGAGATGGACATGTTTTCGGATTCAGGATTTCCTGAATCGGCCATTTTGCTGGCTCTTGCGATTCGGCACTAACGGACGCTACTCGACGCACTTCGAGGCTGGCAAGCCGCCGAGATCCGACGAAGACGTCCGAAAACCTCGAAGACCGACCCCTCTTCGTTTCCATTGTTGTGCGGAGTAGAGAATACAATGCCCAACAAAACATGTTGTTAGAATCCGGCAGCGGCCGCTGTTGGGCAGACGGCCTCTTCTCAAATGGACAACGCCTGCGGCGACGCCGACAGCGGATCGTGCTCAAAATGGACAAGAGCTGCAATCGGTCTTCGGTCTTCGTCACCATTGATCCTCCTCGTCTGGCTCTCTGGTCATTGCTCAAGACTCTGGCGGCCGTTCGGGACGATCCGGGCACGCCCAGAACACCCTCAGCTGCTGGAGAGCATTTCGAGGCTGGTAAGCCCGCGAGAACCGATGAAGACGCTCGAAAACCTCGAGACTCGACCCCTCGTCGGTCATCACTTCGCCCTCATAAGACGACGCCAAGACGATGATAAACTCGATTGAGCATAACTTGAGAATATCTGAGATCTGGCGGCTCTGGAGGATGTATCGGGCGCCGCAGCCTTCTCAAAACGTTCCGGAACGCTCTGAGAGCGTTCCGGAGCGATCTGGTGCGGAATGATCCTCGTCCTGGCCCCATCGGACGCAATTCGTTCCATACCATTTCTGATCGTGCCGATTCGGAGGGGGGGGAGGGAGGAGGGAGGAGGGAGGAGGGAGGAGGGAGGAGGGAGGAGGGAGGAGGGAGGAGGAGGAGGAGGAGGAGGAGGAGGAGGAGGCTGCTCCGATCTTTTCGATGCGTGGGCCCCGGACGTCTGGACCATTCCCCTGGCCGGCTTCTCGTCCTGCGTCGTCCTGTTGACGCTCCCGCGGCCCGGCAAAGGGCCTCCGGAGGCAGCAGAACACCAGAGGCCGCCCGCTCCAATCTCTTCGGAGCGTCGGACGTTCGAGCCGGATCGCTATGTGAGGGTCCCAGGGCTAGGTCGGGCACGTCCCCCCACAGGCGGATGTTCGACGAAACATCATACACCAACAATTGTCCCAAATAGCCCCCCCCAAAAAAAGATACAAAGAAAAAAACAAAAAAAACGCCCTCGCGACAATATTTTTGAATATTTAGAATATGCCTTCTGTAGAGGGACAGGCCCGACTTCAGTGTAGAGGCGCAGGCCGTGCTTGGCGCGCGTCGCATCATCCACCTCCAGGACACACCGGACCCAGTTTAACCTCGCCGAGCTGGTCGCGCCAACAAAAGCCGCCCCTGGCAGACCCTGGAGACCGGCCGCGACCTCTGCGCCAGTAAAAGACACCTGCGCCACGATGCCGTGGACGGCGAAGCAGGCGACTGCAAGATGCGGCGCTCTGGCTGACCCCCGTTTGCATTGACCCCCTCCGGGCCGGGCGAATGGGGGTGATAGCAAAGGGGGGGTTTGAGATTCAGCTCACGAAGCTGACTTTCCCGGCGCCTCCCGGCGCCGGGAGGCGCCCATGCTGTCGAGGAATGCGCCCGAAGGCGGGGCCGGAACCAGCTGCCTGCAGCAGGCTTCGTACCCCCCCCCTTTTCCCTATCCCCCCCCCCTTTTGTTCGGCCCGACCCCCCTGGCCCGACGCCTGGCAGAGACGCCCGGGGATGCGGAAGAGCAGGAGACGCCAGAGGATCCCAGGGGGCCGCCCGCTCTCCGACTCTCTCTCGGAGCGTCGGACCTCTGGGCTTGAGCCTGTTTTTTGTTCTAGACTCGTCGCCGTCGGTGCCTCGTCGTCGTCGTCCTCCTCCTCCTCCTCCTCCTGCTCCTGCTCCTCCTCCTCCTCCTCCTCCTCCTCCTCCTCCTCCTCCTCCTCCTCCCTCTCCTGCTTCTCTAGAACAAAAGAACGGTCGGAGCCTGTTTCTTGTTCTAGACTCGTCGCCGTCGGTGCCTCGTCGTCGTCGTCGTCGTCGTCGTCGTCGTCGTCGTCGTCCACCTCCTCCTCCCTCTGATCCTCTAGAAAAAACAGTCGAAGCCGGACGTTTACTTGCATGGACGGGGGGGGAGTCTGAGCCTGAAGCAGGCCGCAAGCGACCTGCAGGTGCGGAAGTCACGCAAGTCCAAAGGCACTCGCACGCCAGTGCTCGTTCGAGGAGGGGCGAAGAGGGGGGGAACGCCATGCAAGCAAACGTGCCTGAACCTACAACCGACAGGCGCTTTTCCATCGTCCAAGCCCTGCAAGCGGGGCGTCAGTAAACGGGCCAGTAGCTGAGGGTGAGCTTTTCATGGTGCATTGAAGAAGCTGCGTTGCCGCGCACCAGTGCGAGGTACCCCCCCGCCCAGAGTCAGGACGCTGTATGGACGTTTGACGCTGTATGGACGTTTTTGCCGTCCTGGTTTACCACGCACTGCAGTGCGAGGTAGAGGCCCTGCCGCCCCGTTCTCAAGCTTGCAGAGGCCTGCATCCTACCGCCTCCCCCGCTCCGCGCCGGCCCGCGGCGGGCGTGGCCTCCGCCCTTGCCCGGCCCCTCGGCGGGGCGCTTCCTCGCCGGAGGGCGCCGCGGACGGCCCCAGAGCCGGCGGCGCACCGTGCCTCAGAGGGCGCCGCAGGGGGGCGAGCGAGCGAGCTCAGCGTCGGTCCCGCGGGAGCCGCGCGCCCTGTGGGCGGCGGCGTCCCCGGGGGGCGGGTGCCAAGGGAACGTTTCCTGACTCGGCGTTTGGGCACTGAGCGGAGGGGGGGGGGGGTCTGGCTCCGAAGCTCTGCTTGTTGCAACTGTTTGCCACTGTGCGTCTTGAGGGGAAGGCTCCACCTGCTCGAAGCAGGCGCCAAACACAGCCAAGACCCACTCCGTGGGGGGGGGAGGGGGGGGAGTGCGAGGGACCGCGCCGATCGGCAAATCAATGAATGAGAAAAAAATCACCAATGTATTCCTGTTTGACCGCTCTCGCATGACGCTCCACACGAAGCGGCAAAAGGTCCTGCGCAACCAAAAGTGGCAACGGTGAAGGCGGTCGGTGTTCTCACTAGAACGGAAGATGGAGGTCCAGGACGGCCCAACAGCGCACCTCAAGACTGCTGCTACTGGTCGCTGGGCCACCACTTGGGGGCCTGGCGGGGATGGGTCGGCTCCTTAGAAGCCTCCTAGATGGGCTCCGCGCAGGGGGGGCTGGAGGACTCCACCGCATCGCCGATGCATCGGCGACGTCGGCGTGGAGAAGATCGGGTTCATCATTGAGCCGCATCGCCAATGCGGCGCGGTCCTCCGACCCCATCTGCTCCGACCCCATCCGGGAGGCCTGGGCTCGTGTCCCCAGCAACTGGCCCCGACTCGGCGGCGAGCGAGGGGGGGAAGTGAGAAGGAGAAGGCCTTCTCAGAAGGCTCGGAAGCCCCCCGAGCCTCCCGAATGCTGTCCCGAGCCTGCCCCGATGCCACAACCAACTTCTCAGAAGGCTGGACGGGGGCCACGTTTCTGCACGGCCTGCAAACGACGCGCGGGCTCTGGGAAACACGGAGGAGGAGGAGGAGGAGGAGGAGGAAAAGGAAGAGGAGAGAGCGGAGGAGGAGGATGAGGAGGACGAGAATCAAGAGGAGGGAGAGGACGAGAACCAGGAGGAGGAGGAGGAGGAGGAGGAGGAGGAGGAGGAGGCGGAGGACGAGCACCAGGAGGAGGAGGGGGAGGCGGAGGGGGGCCACTGGAGCCAACACTGCGGGGGCCGCCAGTGCCAGGCCGAGCTGCTCGGCGCCTGCGACTGGGCCCGTTGCTACGGCCAGGGCCCGCACCACGCGCGGGCGCGCACGGGCGAAGCCCGCACCGCGCAGTGCCTTTTGGGCGCCTCGTGGTAAGACGATGCCAACACGAGGATAGAACACTGGGCTGAGGATAAAGACCGAGGATCTCTGAGATCCGGCAGCTCTAGAGGATGTCTCGGGCGCCGCGGACTTCTCACAACGTCCCCCACAAGGCTCTGAGAGCGTTCCGGAACGCCCTGGAACGGATGTATCCTCGTCCTGGCCCCGTCCGACGTGGGGGCCTCCTGAGCGGAAGGACTGAGGCGGGGGGGGGGGAGGGAGTGGGGGAGGGAGGCCTCCTGGGGGGCTCTCTCAGGGCCGCTCCTGGCCCTCGCATTGGGCCGCTCCTGGCCCGTGAGACGCCGCCGGAAGCCGTTTTGGGGGCCCAGGACGGGATGAGGGACTCCGCGGCCAATTTCCAGGAGGGAAAAAAGCACACAGACACAATGAATCGTCGACTCCCCTGAACATGTTGGAGGATATGGGAAGTGGGGAGGAAGACGAGACTCCGAGAAAGATTGGAAGATATGGGGGATCCGGTCGTCTGGGTGGTGCCGCGCCGCTCATCACGCTGGTCTGCGGAGGGTGGCGGCGCACAGTGACACAGGTGACTCCGCCGCCTGGGTCGTCCTCATCGGCTCGGTCCCAAAAGGAGCGGCCACTGGCCACATCAGCTGGAGCGTGGGAGGCATGTTGGGGTCACGTGCAGCCCCCCTCCCTCTGCATGGCCGGGTAGGGGTCGTCGGACCGTCCGCCCAGCCCCGGGAGGGGGGGAAGGGAGCGGTCCCCGAGGGGGGGAGGGGGAACGGTCCCCACCCCCTCTTCCCTTGCTCGTCCCTTGCTCTTCCCTTGCTCATCCCTTGCTCTTCCGCCCTCCTCCTCCTCCTCCTCCTCCTCCTCCTCCTCCTCCTCCTACTCCTCTCTCCTCTTCTCCTCTCCTCCCCCTCTCTGCCTCCCTCCAGCACCAGCTCTCCCCTGCCCTCCGCGTGGGCGTGAACAAATGGGGGGCGATGATTGGGGACGGAAGAAATGTGCACCTTCCGGGCCCTCAAGATCCCCTCTTGGGTCATAAAAGGTCCATCGGGGGCGTTAAAAAGTTCCTTTTTCTGCAGCCCTCGCTGCCCCCCCCCCCCCCTCCTTTATCGCCCCCCATTCCGCGATACCCAATCCTCCTTGTCCCTTCCTCCTCCTTCCTCCCACTCCCGCGCGACCCGAACATCTCGCGCGATCCTGCCCTCCTTCCTGCCTCTTTCCTTCCTCCTCCTTTCTCCTCCTTTTTCCTTTCTCCTTCGTCCTCCTCCTTGTTCCTGCCTCCTCCTTCCGCCCGCGCGATCCTGCCCCGCCGCAACCCCCGCCTGTGCTCCCGCTCGTCTCCGACTCCGACCCCCTCCCCCCTCCTGCTCACCATACTGCTTCTGCTGCAGCTCCTGCTGCAGCTCCTGCCCGTCGAGCGCGAGCCACCCATGAGACAGCGATCGGCGGCGATCGAGGGAGGTAAGTGAGAAGGAGAAGGCCTTCTCAAGAGGCGGCGGGACTTCGCGGAAGCGCTCCGGCCTTCTTTAGCACTGTTTGCGTCTTCGGGGAAGGCTTAGAACACTTCTCAGAAGGCCGAGGGACTTCCGAGCCTTCTGACAAGGCCCGCCCATTCTCATTTCCCACCCGGGCTCGCCGCTGAAACAGGCCTGACTTCTAGAAACCATCTTCGACGCAGCATCGCAGGAGAGAGAGAGCCAGACGCCGCTTTTTCACGCTGAGCGGACTTTAACCCTCGGGATTGTAGCGCCGGACGCTGCTACCCATCCTCCCCGTACCCTGTCCCCCGTCCCATTTCTCCTCCTCCTCCTCCTGCTCCTCCCCGTCCTCCTCCCATCCTCCTCCTCCTCCCTCCTTCTCCTCCTCCTCCTCCTCCTCCTCCTCCTCCTCCTCCCCTTCCTCCTCCTCCTCCTCCTCCTCCTCCTCCTCCTCCTCCTCCTCCTCCTCCTCCTCCTCCTCCTCCTCCTCCTCCTCCTCCTCCTCCCCGTCCCCTTGCCTGGTGAACGGACCACGCGCCCTCCTGCCTTACGGGGTGCCCGCCCGCGCCCTTCGCGACTGGAGGGCCCGTGAAGAGCTCTGTGCGCGGGCCGTCGGGCCCCGCGGGGGAGCCCCACGAGGGCCCGGGGCCCCGGCCGACAAGCCACACACACACAAACGCCCCCCCCCTCCAGGATTCAAGCCTGGGAGTTCACCGGGCCATCGCTCGGACGTCCATCCCCCGTGCTTTTTGTTCGGTCTCGCGCGTGCTCTTTTCTCGCCCAAAGGATCCAGGGTGCTCCTCGAGGGCCCTCGCCGAAGGAAAAGTGCACACGTCCGAGCGATGCCAAGCCCCCCCGCAGGAGTCAAGCCTGGGAATTCATGGGGTCGTATAGGTGCGGGGACCCGCGGCTCGCTCGTGATTGCGACTCCGCCTGCGCCCGAGGCCCCCCCGGGGCGAGGCCGCCGCCGCCGCCGTCGAGGTGTCTGGGCACCGGGCCGAGGTTCGGCTCGGCCTCGCTGTCCGTCTCGGCGACGCAGGCGTCTTTCTGGCCAAGGGGCGGGAGAGGAGAAGCAGGGCAGGTGAGCAAACAGACCCGGCATGAGCACCGGTGATGCTGCAGTCAACGCTCCCGCGCCACCAAGTCTCCCCCGAATAGGCCAGCGCACACACACACACACACACACACACACACCGCACGCCACACCGCATGCACATAGTGTATATAAATGTATATATAAATGCACGACGTGCCCCCACCCACAGGGACCTCCCTGTCCTGACTTTCTTATACAGTCGCTTAAAAGTTGTCGTTAGCAAGTCCTTTCAACTATATGCAACTCCATACCGCCCCTGCGATGTCCATGTGTGCATGCTTATGCGTATGCAAATGCGCAGAAAGGAGGCAATCATATTATATAATCTCAACATAACTTGAATCGGAACCAGGGACAACTCCAACAGGAGCGGCCCATATCCCTGGCCTAAAAGCTTTCGACCCGATTTGATTGGGATTCAAATTCTTATTCACCCGAAATAAACACGCTCCCAACTTGAATGCTTGTTTGAATCCGGTTTAAGTGGACTTCAAGAAAGGAATCCACTAGGCAAGCAGCATCTCCCATATCCAAATGGACACACTCTGATTTCAACGGGTGGTTCTTAAGATTCCTATAAGAATGGACGAGGTCCCAGGTTCATAGAATTACACATGCATGTTAATTTGAACCGGATAGCACCTCAATGGTATTGAAGGAAGGCTGTGAACTACACACTTGCAATGAGAGTTAATAGTGCCCAAACAAGAATCCACGACGAACTCACCAGAAGTCACATCATTCAAATAGAATGGTCGGAACCTGGAATACCCCATCGCTAGGACTGTAAAAGGCCATCGTCAAAAATACAAGGTCTTCTTTCTTCTTACTTCAACAATGTATCTATATATTTACGGAATGGCAATATGTTTGTAAGCAAGCAGGCGACACATCTCACAAGTTTCGTTGGTGTCACCAAAAAATTATTGATTTTGAAACGTCTGGGATACCAGAGCGCACCCCTTCGGAAGATCGGAAAGGTTTGATCTCGAAAGCACACCCGTTTGGGTGAAATGGTTGTCGAACACAGAATGCGACTCTCAAAGGTTTCGTCTGTCTCAGGACCAAGAACCATCGATTACTGCATTTCTAGACATGAGGAAAACATAAAAAGCACCCCTCCCAGATTGCCTTCGTCTTATGACCAAACACACTACAATTCAACAACATGCTAAACAAACCGGACGCAGTCCTCACAGGGACTAGAAGGGTCGGTTACACCTCATAAAAAAACACACAAGCTGGTAATGTCTTGCCACGGAAGGAAGTGGTTTTCTTAATGTGTACGTACATTCCAACATGGATTTCGCATGGGGTCTCTGCCGCCTGTTGTGTACAGAACATATCGTCCGGGGAGCCAAGAAACAATAGGAATCCAGGGTTGTTGTATCACCATGTCCAAAATGCACATGTTTTAATTGACTAGTTCGTCGCGCTTGTCAATGATTTCGCAATAACGTGTGTTTTCGTTGGCCAGATTGTCTTGTTGTTTACAATCTTGACGACATCGCAACGCCGACCTGGGCCCATCCAGATCGGACCTGCATATTACACACGAAAACACATGATGCTGTGAAATCGTTGGCATAAAAAACATAACACATCAAACCATACGGCCTGGTGGCGTGAGAGCTGGAAATACTTAGATTGCTTTCGGAATCCCAGGCTCAATGTCGAGATACAATAAATTCCTGACATCGACCTCCTGCGATCCTCTTCTGGAACTCACCCGAATCAAGAATATCTTTACGCAACATGTGATTGTTGGCCTCGCCCGTACGATCCCTGTGAAGGTTGCATCCTGTGCTTCTTATGTCTGGTGTATAAGAATCGTTGTCTTTTTTTCCGGGCGGGAGACCAAAGACATCTATGAGGGGTGGGTGCTGCTTTGTCCACAAACTCTGGTTAATGAGAGCATTGCGTTGTTTGACCCTGATGCTTGCGATCGCTGTGAGGGTTGCAAAATGTTTTCAACTTAGGAAGGCCATTGTGTGTTTTCTGGCCTGCGGCACACGAAACCTGTGATAATTGCGCAAAGTTGAAAACAAGCCGTTGCGCTTCTTTGTTCTACCATGGCCCAAACGATTCCTGTGAAAGGCATGTTCGGTGTTTGAGAATATCTCAATCTCATTCAAATGTAATGGAAATCCACTTATGATCCTTTGACCCTGGTGCTTGCCTTTGACCAACTGAATTCCAATTCGAACTCATTCAAATTCAATTGAAATTCTCTCTACGCCTGGGATCTGCTCCATCTCGATAGAAATCCTAGATCGATCCAGTTGAACTCCACTTGAAATCCTATGGATCTGGGGCCGGATCAATTGTTCTGAACCCCCGTTGGATTCGAACTCGAATCAAAGAGAAATTGTCTGGACCTGGCGCCTGCTCAACTGCGATATAAAAGAGTATTCAACTCTCTACTCGAATCAAACAGAAACCTTTGAACCTGGAGACGAGGCGAAGAGAAAGAACTATTGAATCATAAGGAAGGGGAGAGGGTACGTCCTTGAGGGGGTCGCATATGTATACACACATATACTTACAGACGCAGACGTGTATACATGTATACATGTATACCTATACGACCACCCTTCGGGTGATAAGGAGGTTCGGGGGGGGGGAGGAACCAACATAAGGAGGTTCGGGGGGGGGGAGGAACCAACGTCTCACTCGATCGGTCTCACTATCCATCTCAGTATCGGTCTCGCTCGATCGATCTCCCTCGATCGATCTCACAATCGATCTCACTCGATCTATCTCACAATTGATCTGACTATCGATCTCACAATCGATCTCACAATCGACTTCACAATCGATATCACAGTCGGTCTCACTATCGATCTCACTATCGATATCACAACCGCTCTCACAATCAACGTCATCATCATCATCATCAACAACAACATCAACTTCAGCATCATCATCACCAACATCAGCATAATCGGGACACCGTCCGCATCATCAACACCAACATCATCATCACGGTCATCAACATCATCGGGACACCACCATCATCATCATCATCATCATCACCATCATCACAATCATCATCATCAACATCATCATCATCAGCAGCATCGGGACACAGTCATCGTCATCATCATCATCATCAGCAGCATCATTATCGGGACACCATCATGATCACCATCGTTATTATCATCATCATCATCATCATCATCATCATCATCATCATCATCATCATCGCGGGACACCGCGGGACACCGGCGGGACACCGCGGGGCACCGCGGGACACCGCGGGACACCGCGGGACACCGGCGGGATACCGCGGGCCACCGGCCGCCCGGAAGGGAGACATTTGGTCCGGCCGCGCCTCAGCCACAAAGGACTTTCGCGGGACACCGGCGGGACACCGCGCGCCACCGGCCGCCCGGTGGAGAATCATTTGGTCCGGCCGCGCCTCAGCCACAGGAGACTTTCCTCTCGCCCGCCCACGCAGCTTCGCCTCGCCCGCACGCACGGCACGCACGAACACGAAACCGAAATCAATTTCCCGGTAGGGGGGCTCTCCGTTCCACTTCGATCTCACCCCCTCACCTCCGACATGTATACATACATACATACATACCTATATATATATATATATACATACATACATACATACAAACATACATACATGCATGCATACATACATACATACATATATAGATACATACGTTTGTACATACACATATAAATACACGACTTCTGAATTCTCCTGGAGACTCCCATGACCCTCCCAGAAGCTAGAATAAGTTCGCAGAAATCCCCCGACGGATGATGAGGATATCAGCGCCGCTATGCCGCACAGAGCGATTTCCTGCCGTGTCGTATGTTCAAACTTCGATGTGGAACTTGGACCAGCCCATCTGCAGACCGCTTTTCGATCCGCCACCTTGCCTCTGGCACGCATTGGAGTACCCCCAGGCCTGAGAGGTAGAGGGTACGCAAAAGTTGTAAGGGCCTGGGCCGTCGAATTCTTGGGGGCTCTCTGGCGCTGCTGGGCGCTTCTGGGGCGTTTCGCGTGGGCCTCCGGGCCGGCCCCCTCGCTCAGGAGGGCTCGACGCGTGCCAAGAAAGTCCAGGGAGGTCGCCAAGACAGTCCAGTAGGGTACAGAACCGCCGAAAGACTGCTCCAAGGCGCCCAAGATGGCTTCCAGACTGCCCAAGAGCCCTCGAGGACGCCATATACGACTTGAATTTCCTGTGGGTCTTGAATGATTTTGGCGTTCTCGCCTCTTCGGATTCCCGACGCCCCATGACGGCCCAAGAGGCCCCCGATATCGCCTCAAGACAGCCGAAGGGTATCCAAGACGGCCCCCAAACAGCCCAGGAGGGTCCCAAGACGGCCCAAGAGGCCTCCAAGACGGCCCAAGAGGACGCCAAGACGGCTCCTATAACGGGCCCAGACGAGGGACCCGAACGGACATGTCGAGCACTCGGCCCCGTGAGGCCCCCAGGAGGAACCAAGAGGCCCCCAGGAAGCCCCCAAGAGACCCCAACAGGCCCATAAGAGGCCCCCAGGAAGCCCCAAGAGGCCCCCAAGACGCTCCCAAGAGGCCCTGCAGAGGCCCGCAAGAAGCTCCAACACTGCCTGCCAGAGTCCCCCGACAGCGATCCGAAGAGACCCCAAGAGGCATCCCAGAGGACTCTATCCCAAAACCCAAGCACGTTGGCGGGATGGGCCGAAGGCCATGTGAAAATTTGAGGAGGCATCTCCGACTGCTCATTCGTTGCTTCGTATTCGTGTCTTGAGGCTTCCGGCGTGCCCCCTGGGTTTCACCGCGTGTCCCTTGGGCTCCCCCAAGCGTTATTGCATTACCTTTTCGGGGCCAAGAGTGGTCCAAGATGGGCCAATAGACCGCCAAGAGCTCACTCAGACGGTCTAATGGTGCCCCGAATCGGCGAACGATCGGTCCAAGACGCTCAAGATAGCTTCAAGATGGCTCCAGAAATCTTCGAGACGCCCCATGAGAGCCCCAAGAGCCTTCCCGACAGGGCCCCGAGGAGGCCCCAAGAGGCCTCCAAAGTGCCTCTGACCCACAATCCAGGCACAGTGGCGGGATGGGCCGAAGGCCATTCGATGAAGCGAGAGTTGGGCTTTGCAACATAGCAGGGCTGTCCTGTGATCGCGGTCCAAACTCGGCCCCCGAAACTCGTGACCGAACTCCGTGCACCACGGCGAACAAAAACACACGTAAACTCGCACGGCCCAGTCGCTTGCCATCGCTCGGACGCTCTTTCCCCATGCATGGTCTGACTTCGTGCGTTTTTCTGTTGTCGCAAGATGATCCTAGATGCTACTCGATGGTCATCGCCGAGGAAAAAGCACACGTCCGAGTGATGCCAACGGAGGGGGCTCGCATCTGTCCCCCATCGATCTTGTTCGAGCAATCGGATGTCCTGCTTTCTGCCACCGTGCGCTCCACGAGCACTTCCAGGCCGAATCCTCGTCTTCTTTCCACTGCAGGGCTGCCATAACACCATTGAAGTAAACAGCCTGTGTTGGGCGGCGGAGGTCCCAAGGTGCGTCTGGCGGCTTTCAATCCTGGCTGCCCGCATCTGCCCTCCAAGAGGGTGTCGCATCTGTCCCCGATCGGCCTGGTTTGAGCAATCGGATGTCCCGCTCTCTGCCGCCGAGCGCCCCTGTTTGG